TTTTACGTCATTCATCAGATTCTAGAATTCTGATAATGTATTTTAATGCTGCGGGCATTTACGATACATAGCCTGCATACTGTAAACGTTACAAATCTGTGGGTTTGTTTGTCACGCAAACCACACGTTTCCGATAAACAGACCGTCACGGACAAAACCATGTTTTGACCGTCACGAGTTTTACCAAAGTCCTTCTCAAGGCGAGGTAATGTTGTTTTTAATTCATCCACCAGATCCTATAATACTCTAAAACAAACCAAAAATTATCCTGGTCTCCAGTGAAATCAGCTCCATAAACAAATGAAAGCTTTTGTACACCTGTGCGTTGAGTGTTGAGCAATCCACACCTAGCATAATTTTTGCACAAGAAGCCAAATTTTCCGGGCTTACAAATAACCTTATTTAAATAAAATAGATCGAATTGCTGGGGATCTTCAACTTTATCAGAAGACTATACAATGCATAATAAGGAGACTAACTTGGAAAAGGCGACGAAAAGTTTGCAATGACAAGAAAAAATAATCGAACTGAACTTTGCACAATGGAGCGCGCCATCCCTTACCTGCCCATTCGCCTAACTTCTTCAAATTCTTCCTCATGCCAAGGGCTGGAAGAACAAACGCTCTTATTCCATGAAGAATTTGCAGAACAAGATTTAAAGAACAGTAGCCTAGAAACACAGCGCCAACACAGGAGAGAAAGTTCCACTCCATTGTCTTACAGTTAGAACAAGGACGGACAGACGCAGACGAACCCAGCGAGATAGACAGAGCCCGCTTATCTTTTGGTCAGCAGCCTTCGCAGGCGTTTTTTGGGCTTGTCACGCAATCCTACCGGGAAGGAAAAATGCGTGACGAGCCAAGCCTGCGTAGCTTGGCTTGAGCGCGCGTTCACAAAGGGGCGAAGCCGCGAGAACAAGTGGCGAAGCAAGATAGCTCTGTTAGCAGGCTATGACGCGCCCAATTCTTGTCTTCCATACACGATAGAAGGACGAATCAAAGCTAAAGCTGATTGGTTCCGTGACAATCGAAAACAACGCTATTCTCCCTCTATTTTCTTTGTTCGCGCCTTCATTACGTCGACAGATCGAGTTTTAGTATAAATCTACTAGCGTTCTATCACGAATGGCGTTCTCTGATTGGTTACGCTACTTACTATCAATATCAAGCAATTAGACTATGAGCTTGAGATTTTTATCGCGTGATAGCTGACGGGGGCGCAGCCCGAGTCAACTATCGTGCGATAGAAGTCGAGAGCGATGTTGTTTTAAAGCTAAGAAGATTATTCCACATTGATGCGTTGACTGACTGAACCAGGACTGAACATTGTACTCTGAGCAATTTTGGCTAGCCTTTGATCTTACACAGTGTTACACTGTGTTACAAAAGGGTTAATAATTAACTATTATCGGACAACACACAGGAACCCGTTTTGAGCGGACCCCCTGTATTAAGCGGACACTAGTGAAGGTCCCAACGCTTCACTGTATTCAACATTTTCAATTTTTAGAGTATTCGCTCATTTGTTTAAATTTTGTGATTTAATTCTCGTCCCGGGGACTATGTGTATAATGTACTCGTACCAGTGTTAAACGTGGAATCATGAGGGCAGGTAGCCTTGTATATAACTACTTCAAAACTGGCGATGCTTGAATTTAGTGATTAAATTAATCATGAACTCAAAAGGCTAGAAATATGATCCCGCAGACGAAGGAAAACATATATGCGAGGATCACAAAATGGGCCCTTGTTGAACTTGCTGCTAGAAGTCTTGAAAATACATAAACGTATGCAAGGATTCTCGCGATTACAACCGTCAGTGACCTGTTTGTGGTCCAAGGACTGAAAGAATTTAAAGCACAGCGGGTAGTCGACTGATTTCATTCATCGGCAGACCAGTCTCTGCGGAGTCCATGAAAATTAAAGATGGACTAGTCAACCCGAAGTGGCGTAGCAACCATGATGAAATATAGCGCGTCACGCATTCAAGAAATCAGCGAGAATTGGCAAGATATCCCTGTTTGTCTGTCCTCTGAAATGTGGTATTTATTTTTACTAAGCGTAGCCTTTGTTTACTACCTGATGGCCGTTTTGTCGATGATTTTCACGAAGGAGTCGCGAAGACTCAGAGAAATCTCTCTTCTTCACGACAACTTGATTATGTCGATCATGTTCCCTTCCTTGTTAGAATGGCAAGTAACCCCTTCAGAGAACCTATCCACAAGAACAACAACGATTCACTTAGCATCTTATCACAAAGTACAAGTCGGCACCTGCAGTCTAATAGTTTTTCTATATTCAAGTCTCCAAACAACCTCCATAACCGCCTTAGCATATACTGTGTACGCTGAAAAATATATTCTTCCCAGAATGAATTGCATCAAGCCAAAACCAGTCTGCAGTATTCGCTTGTTAGCTCTGGAGACAATGGCTGGTGTGGTGGTTGCCATAGCAACGACTTTAATCGAGGGCTCAGTCATGAAGGGTACTGCGAAAGGCTGTTGTTTACATTCAACCAACGCGGGAAGTTTTGAAAAGACAAGAGACGTGATTTTCAGCATATCTAGTATTTATGCAACATATATTTTGTTGCGCGTTTCTGTAGATAGGTTTCTTAAACTGCTGGTGACAGGGCATCAAAGACGTCCGAAAACTATTCTATATAACCGTCACCAAATATCTTAGAACATTACTACAGTGGAAGCTCTCGTAGACGGACTCCCTCGGGACTCGAAAAAGGCGAGAATGGTTAAGTTCTCGTAAGCGGCCAGTAGAGGTGAAAGGGAATAGATGACCGCTAACAGGAGCCTTGCCCAGCTACATGTAACACTAAAAGCCTTAGGAATGAAAACAACAACAACAACAACAACAACAACAACAAGGCATCAAATTATTTTTGTTTTATTTTACTGCCCAATGCATGCAATGTCGCGATAATGGCGATAAATGTACACACACTACTTATGCAACGCTTTCGAGGGGTATACCATGGAATATTTCACGAGTCACTTGTATTTTCTCGGTGTCACACGAGTCTTAAGGTCACCGTGAGTGTCAGTATACCAGGAAAATACAAGTGACAGGTGAGATATTCCACGGTGAAGCCAATCGGAAGTAGAGCTGTCCGCTTACGGGAATGTCCGTTAAGAAAGCGTCCCCTGTAGTTTTTTTAACATGTTATTATTTTTTTTTTATGTGTTAAATAGGGGAAAGGCAGGTAAAGTTTCAATTAGTTTTATAGTAAGGACTAAAAATTATTCTTTTAAAATTAAATGTACAAAACAAATACCTATATTGATCAATTGTAATTTTCAGTTTGACGGTTCAATTTCTATTTGACAAATTTTGACGTGCTTTTGAAGAGATTATCTCTCTTTCATATATATGGAACTGATTCCTGTCATAATTTTGACATTAATTAAGTAGTAATTAATGTTTTTTCCTGTACCTTTACCGGTTAGGCAAAACCTAATATTCCATAAATAATAACAATAACAATAACAATAACAATGACAATGACAATGACAATGACAATAACAATAATAATAAACGAACGAGCATACGAACGAACGAACGAACGAAGGAACTAACAAGCAAGCAAACGAAAGAACAAAGTGCCTTGAACGGTTGAGTAAAATCTAATATTTAATAAATAATAATAACACGAATCATAATAATAATAATGATAATAATAGTAATAATAATAATACGAACGAGGAGCGAGCGAATGAACGAGACGAAAGAACGAACGAACGAACTAACGAGCAAACAAACGAAAGAACGAACGAACGAACAAGTAAACAAACGAACCAATGAATAAACGAATCAGACAAGCAGCTAACCAATAAACAAAGCAGTAAAGCAGTTAAACCGTGAAATATTGCTGTACCGACCCGCTTCAGAAGGTCATGATCAGTCACTTAAATAATTAAATTTCCTGTCTGTTTTCATGTGGTCTACCCACGAGATTAGTATCGTATTCGGATATTCTAAAGCTAATCACAGTCAGCAAAACACTTTTTTCTTTTTCTTTTTTTGTTGTTGATATTATCCTTTTGCATAGGAAAGCCAAGACTAACGAGGCGTGAAAGCCAATACTTGGAACATATTATTAACGACATATATAGTATAGTTACGGCGAAAATTTGGGTAAAAAACGTATTATACTTTCCACACGAGAGGAACAAATAAATCAATCTTATTAATTCAACTTGGAAAAATCCTTGTCGACACCTCGCATTGATGTGGAGTGTACAATTTAGATGCGTTTAGGAGTGACTTGCTGTAGAAAAAGAAAAACAAAAGGCATTTTAAAATTTTTGTTTCACTCCCAGCGAAATCACAACCTTTTCATAGAAAGGAAATAAAAATTAACAATAAAAATATAAAGAAATAGAGTTTGGGAAGTGAAAAAATAAAAATGAATGCAAATGAGTCTATTTAAGGCTTTCGATTTCGTTTAATTTTATTCACAATTCTTTCACCTCATGTCATGTCTTTTCCTGTCAATACTTTCAGTCTTCAATCTCTCATTTTGATTTGTTTTTAATGTTATCATAAAACGAAGACAATCAAGCCAAATATTGTCTCAGCAATTTAGATGAAATATACTGAAGTTCTGAGTTGAATACTGGTCATTCTAGGTGAAATTAAGTTTCCATCCTTCAGACAACACAAATATCTAATGCCTCTAGAGCTGTCAAGGTTAGTAATTATTCGTTTGATTGAAATTCTATAAATTAAGCCAAATATGAATATTTAATTCATCCAAGCCGTGCATTATATTTTGTTTACCTCTCGCTCTCTTTTCGCGAAGTTTCGCAGCTGTTACTTGGACACTGAATGACCATAATTTTTGCGAGTGGAAGGACTCAATTTTTTATCGAATTTCGCTCTCAGGTTTCAGATGGCAACCTCGAGCGATCTCAAAGGAAGTTTGTGATCATGGGGAATAAGCAAGGCACAACATCAGTATTTCGTGATGAAGAAGACGAAGAAACCTGGTTTGAATGGATGGAAACAACAGGACATCGCAAAAATCAGAAACAACTGACAATTTCACCGAAAACCGAAATGTTGCCGGTTCAACCGACGAGTTTCCAAGCAGACGCAATCAACAGACCAAGAAACACAAAACAGAAAATCTCTGGCGCAGATAAGGCTCTCAAAGGACTTCATTTAGAGAGTTTTGAAAACGCCAGTGTATCGGCTGATAAGTCGATTCGCGGAGATGGCACGGAAAATAATAATTTACCCAGAATCAAAGGTAGCGTTGTGGAAAACGATTTAGGGACGCTAGCAGGGCAGGTAAGCGAAGTTACAGAAGCCATGGATCATTTTATTTCATTTGTTTTTAAAATGGGTATCTTTTAAGCTTAATTATGCATAAACATGGATGTTTCGATGACAGCTCTTATTTTTTCCTCCGTCGAAATCTGACAACTGCAAATCTGTATCAAACAGTATAGTGATAAAATACCAAAAAATATCACGTAGACCAAAACTTTCAGATATATATAGCTACGATTGAAAGCAAAAGTTAAATCTGCGACCAACTGACATGACATTTGAGATTTAGAATACTGAATCACATTTAATTCAGTTCTTAGACACCTTTTTCAGCGATCTTTTGATAGAATTATTTCGCGATGATGTGCTTATGCAGTCTGAATGTTTTCATGAAGAAAAAAGAGAAAAACTAGATATGTTGCGCCTTGTAAACTCATCTTTTTTAAAAAAAAAATATTGAACTTTTTTTAACGGAAACAGGAAAGTATATTTTTTTACGGTTAATTGAACAAGAACAGTGGCTGAACAAGGGACCCGTCCACACTAGACCGGAGAAATTTGAAAACGGTGTTTTCACTCCGAAAACACATCAAATGTTTTCCTTTCACGCTACGCATGAGAAATTTGAAAACGCAACAATCACCGGTCATTTTGGATTCACTGTGTTTGAGAAAACTCACATTTGTATGGCGATGTCAGGAGGCGATGTCATCAAGTGTTAACTGTCCACACTAAAACGCAAAGCAGGCGTTTTCAAATTCCTCCGGTTTGAAGAGCGTTTTCGAAAAGCTCCGTTTTCACGACAGATTAGTGTGGTCGGTTGGTCTATCCGTAGAAATAAAGCTGCGTTTTCAAATTTCTCTGCCGGCGTAGTTTGGACGAGGCTTAAATGGAGGATTGTACAAGTTTACCATGTGCACGAGAGTCCGTTGTATGTTTGTGTCGCACAGCCGGCGTGTTATATTAAAAAAGTTCCGCCCTCTTCGGTGACTTCAACAATATTTAAGTAGCGATAATTAAACTTCAGGGGGTTATAGTACGTGCAAAAAGTTTCCTTTGAGGTGACCGACATGAAAGGTGGCATCCTATCAAGTTGTAAAACGTCACGAAGTTCAAGCAGCCGTCATTTTTAATAAAAGTCTGATAACCAGAAACAGTGACTCAAAAGTAATCAGAAACAATAAAACAAAATGTAAGAATGACCACACTGAGTCGAATTTTACAAGCTTTTACTGATAAAAACGAGCTCGAGAAAATTCCAAAATCAAAAAAAAAGCATAGTTGTCAAAATACGGTACATGTCATACCAAATTGTTCCCACAAAGATAAATTCAGATGAATCCGATCCGTAATGTTGAGCAGCTTTTACTTAAACCGTTGAAGTCAGCGCGGGCATGTGCACTTATTGCCTTTCCATTCTGGTCTAAAAGAATAAAAGCAGGTACGTCATCTTGAACAGTTTACGGGCTAAATGTTTTAAGTTCGTCCTTTCTAATCCGTGTTAATCTTCTCCATCCTTGTTCCTTTATGGTTTATTTTTACCTCTTTTGTGTTTTTGTATCTTAGTAAATCGCCATGCCAGGTTTCCTCCAATTTCAAGTTAATTTTGTAACCTTTTGTACGCAACCAGAATAACTCAAAATACTTAAGCCAAGCAAGATCAACCAGTTTTTTATATGTGGGTTACAGTTAAATTATGATAAACACGTTAACCAATTAAGGAGTGTGACTTTGAAATTGCAGATTTATTTATAAGAAGCTGATAATAATAAAGTTGTGAAAAATTCCTGTATCTATAAAGACCAAACCCAAGTCTATTTATTTTTTTTTTCTGGAAATCAACAATTGTATCTCCTTCATAGAAATTAAGAACCTAATTAAGAACCTACCCAGCCTCAATCGCCAATAACTACCCCAAAATACTGGAACCAATTTAGCCAGACTTCAGAAAGTGTAGGTTCTCACGCACGGGTTTTACTGTACAGTGATTTAGCTCCTTAACCGACTTGTTGGAAATTTCAACAAATAATAATACTACGCGTGTCTCAGTGGATTTATTCTTTATATTGCTCGTAGGTATTCCCAAAATTTCCAGCTGGAGAGGTGAATGTGTCTTTGTCGTTTGACAAAGCGACAAGTCGAATGAAGGTGCACATTGTAAAAGCCCGAAACCTCTGCTGCAAGGCGCGGGAAGGAAAACGACAGGATAGATGTGGCGTCAGCTGTTCAGGTGATCTGATCTTATACTTATTACTGAGGTAGCGTCCATGCACTACGCCGGAAGAATTTGAAAACTCATCTTATTTCTACGTTTAGGCCTTCCGTTTACACTAACCTGTCATGGAGAGGCAGCTTTTCGAAAGCGCTCTTCAGACCGTAGGAATTTGAAAACGCCGGCTTTGAGTTTTAGTGTGGACGGAAGATATATTTTTCTTTGAAAGCGGAGCTTCTCGAAAACGATGGCGTCGCGATATAATCATGTGATTTCCCGAACAGAAATAAGAATAAACCCGAGGCTGAGAATTTGTAAAGAATATAATTTTGTGTCTTAAAAATTTGTAAATATAATACAATTGTATGATTTAACTAAACTGCATAGAATTCTTCCTTTCTCTAAGCGGCAAAACTAGCCAAGAAGCAATGAAAACAGCACTAACCATATGGTCGTTGCTAATAACATTTCTGCGAGAAGTTATGCGTGTCTTTTTACTCTTTTTAATCATATACAATTGTAAGCGCATTGAGAATTCTAAATGCGCAATAAGAACCTTATTATTATTATTATTATTATTATTATTATTATTATTATTA